AGTGGTGAGAAAACCAATTATACTATACTAGTATGCGTAGTACCTATTCATATCTCTGTTTCGTATTGTCTATCGTATATCAGTATAACTTTGTTGCTATCATAAACGATCTTTGTAAAAATTCTTGCTTTTTCTTACGAATGTATACATAATGATTAATTTACTGTATCTTGTTGTGTCCTATTTGCTGATGCTTGTAATTACTAAAGATTTCGTAAATTTTTTCTTGCAAAAAAACCACGATCTGATTGAAGTTGAACTTAAAGAGACATTCACAAGGTATTTTTTTTTTCTTACAGAAATTTTAAGAAAATGGCCTCCAGCAATATCTTTAGACCGTCGTTGCACCAAGCCCTACACAATTAGCCCTCAAAATCCTGGAGGAACAGCATTTCAGATTAGAAAAGGTGATATGCTCTGGGTCCCCGTCCAGGGTATCCACAGGGACCCAGCTTATTATCCTGATCCGGAACAACTAGATCCTGAGCGAGAAAATTCTGCCCTACACCTACATGCCTTTTGGATCAGGTCCTAAAAATTGTATAGGTTCGAGATTTGCTCTTCTGGAAGTGAAAACCTTGTTGGTACATTTGTTGTACCATTTTCAGATCGTTCCAATTGAAAAATCCGTGATTCCGGAGAAGTTGAGCACCTCGGTCGCTCATACAGCTGAAGGCGGGTTTTGGTTTGGACTAAAGAACATTTAGTTAATTAGTAGCTATTTATCAATGTACAGGGACATCATTTTAAGTGTCTCACTCGATTTATAATTTTCCTGTTTGGTATTTAAAGATAGTAGAAAGATTTTCTAATGTAGTTTTTCGCGAGGATGCCGATTCTCTACATCAAAATTTTTGAAAACGTCAATTTTGACAGATACGACGCCATCTTGATTTTTTTTAAATGGAAACCCCCACATATTTTAGCATGGTCCGGTAGACATATTTTAGCTAATTTCAAAAATATATAGTTTAGTGTACTTTGCTCCTACCGTTTTCGATATACAGTGGATTTAAAAATGAATTGTTCCAGAATCATTTTAAGTGTCTCGCCCAATTTAAAATTTTCCTCTTTTCTATTTTAAGATAGTAAAAAGATATTTTAATGTAATTTTTCGCGAGGATGCCGATTTTCTACATTAACATTTTTTAAATCGTCAATTTTGACAGATACTACGCCATCTTGATTTTTTTTAAATGGAAACCCTCACATATTTTAGCATGGTCCGGTAGACAAATTTTAGCTAATTTCAAAAATATATAGTTTAGTATACTTTGCACTTACCGTTTTCGATATACAGTGGATTTAAAAATGAATTGTTCCAGAGTCATTTTAAGTGTCTCACCCAATTTAAAATTTTCCTCTTCTCTATTTTAAGATGGTAATATTTTAATGTAATTTTTCGCGAGGATGCCGATTTTCTACATTAAAATTTTTTAAATCGTCAATTTTGACAGATACGACGCCATCTTGATTTTTTTTAAATGGAAACCCCCACATATTTTAGCATGGTCCGGTAGACATATTTTAGCTAATTTCAAAAATATATAGTTTAGTGTACTTTGCATTTACCGTTTTTTATATACAGGGGGTTGAAATCAAGAATTCCTCTAATTTTTATGTATTTGAATATGAATGCCATTCACTTACAACTGAGTGGTATTTGTATCCAAATGCATGAAATTTACGTAAATTATCTATTATATCTATATATAACTATCTTATGATAAATGACTAGCAGTTTAAAACTAAATTTTCATTTTTTTTATATACAGGGTGGTCCGAACTGTATTCCGGAAACTTCGGCAGCATACTCTGCAGATAAAAATAAGTAAAAAGTTCGTATAAATATATGTCCTACAGTACTTAGTTTCGGAGATACAGGGTGTAGAAGTTTCATTTTTATTTAGATTTTTTCGAATTAATTTCTGAAGTAACGTCAATATTTGGCTGAAAATTCGTGTCTGGGAGTTTTTTGACATGAGAAACTTGATTCTGATGTCAATATGACTCTTATTTGTAGGGGGCGCCACCTACATGTGTTTTAACTGTTTTGAAAAGTAATAACTTTTCGCCCATACCTGTATAAAACTACTGAGTAAAAAAATATACATTTTCTTGACTTTTTACGTAAAAAATATCTCTCGGTAAAAATCGCTACGAGCAACCATTCTCAAGATATTTCGAATGGAAATAGTCAATACATGTCATTATTGACAAAAAAATAAACACGTTGAGTAGATAGATATTTGGCTGAAATAATAAATGTGGGAAATTTTAATTTTTTTAAATTAATTATAAATTTTTCTGCGGAAAAATGATGATAAAACAGTTTCTGTTGACCTTTTGGCAAAAAAACATTTCAAATTTATGATTTCAGACTAGTAACTATTTAGTCCACATGTTTAATATATGTCAATGATGACAGGTATTGATAATTTCGATTCCCAATATCTCGAGAACCCTTACTCGTAACAATTTTTACCAACAGACCTTTTTTACGTAAAAATCGTTATAAATGAACAATTTTTCACTCAGTAGTTTTATAGTACGTATACTCAGTAGTACGGACGAAAAGTTGTTACTCTTCAAAACATTTAAAACACGTGTATGTGGCGCCCCCTAGAAATTGGATTTATATTGACATCAAAATCAAATTTCTCATATCAAAAATCTCCCAGACACCAATTTTCATCACAGTATTTACGTTACTTCACAAATTATTTGGAAAAAATCGAAATAAAAAAGATACTTCTACACCCTGTATCTCCGAAACTAAGCATGTTAGGACATTTATACGAACTTTTTTACTTATTTTTATCTGCAAAATATGCTGCCAAAGTTTCCGGAATCACCCCGTATGTAAAGGTCATATTGAAGAAGAATCAAAGTATAAAAAAATAAAAAAATTTAAGCGTAGTAATTGTCAAATTTGACATTTTCAAGAATTTTAAAATTCGAAAATTGTAAACTGGATGAGTCACTTAAAATAATTCTAAAGATTTCATTTTTAAATGCACTGTATATCGAAAACGGTAAGTTCAAAGTATACTAAACTATATATTTTTGAAATTAGCTAAAATATGTCTACCGGACCATGCTAAAATATGTGGGGGTTTCTATTTAAAAAAAATCAAGATGGCGTCGTATCTGTCAAAATTGACGTTGTAAAAAATTTTAATGTAGAAAATCGGCATCCTCGCGAAAAATTACATTAAAATATCTTTACTATCATTAAAAAATAGAAAAGAGGAAAATTTAAAATTGGGTGAGACACTTAAAATGATTCTGGAACAATTCATTTTAAATCCACTGTATATCGAAATGGTAAGTGCAAAGTATACTAAACTGTATATTTTGAAATTAGCTAAAATATGTCTACCGGAGCATGCTAAAATATGTGGGGTTTCCATTTAAAAAAATCAAGATGGCGTCGTATCTGTCAAAATTGACGATTTAAAAATTTTAATGTAGAAAATCGGCATCCTCGCGAAAAAAATTACATTGAAATATCTTTTTACCATCTTAAAATAGAGAAGAGGAAAATTTTAAATTGGGTGAGACACTTAAAATGATTCTGGAACAATTCATTTTTAAATCCACTGTATATCGAAAACGGTAAGTGCAAAGTATACTAAACTATATATTTTGAAATTAGCTAAAATATGTCTACCGGACTATGCTAAAATGGGGGGTTTCCATTTAAAAAAAATCAAAATGGCGTCGTATCTGTCAAAATTGACGTTTTAAAAAATTTTGGTGTAGAGAATCGGCATCCTCGCAAAAAATTACATTAGGAAATCTTTCTACTATCTTTAAATACCAAACAGGAAAATTATAAATCGAGTGAGACACTTAAAATGATGTCCCTGTACATAAATTTATGTAATACAATAGGTATATTATATGTTATGATTAATATTAGATAATAGATATTGTTTTTAAAAAATAAAAAAATAAATTTTTTACTTTTACTTTTTTCTAATTTTTTTAAATACTTAATTCATTGAATTAATATACGTTTTGTATAAAAATGAAGTATCTTACATGGTAGCATAATAAAAATATGGCTATTTATAAAATTGTGGAAGTGTTTATTACACATTATCAATTTTAATTAAATAGTTTTGTTATTGTTAAGGTACCCAAAACAAAAAAAAGTATCAAGTGTATCGTTGTACTCAGGAGATCGAGTTCTTTTAAAACCTGATATAAAAAGTGCAGGTCCGTACTTAAAAAAAGTTAAGTTGGACTTTGTCTCTCACAAATTATCAGCTAATTTGAAAATCTAAAAATACTATCAGATAGCCCTAATAAAGTGGCTATGAGAATGTGTAATTAGTTTTTTGATTTTCTAAAAAGTAACGAGAGGAAAAAATAAAATTGATTTTCAAAAAAATCCGTTTTTTTAACTCAGCAATCCTTGAAATATGTAAAACTTTCTTGATGGCATCTTGGTGAACATGCCAAGGAGCAACTTTGCTTCAATAAACCATTTTCGATTATGGTTTCCGATATACCAATGCTCGTACCCCGAATTTGTAGCACCCTGTATAGATTATATCTATCACAATGCAAAACATCTTTAATTAACACTTATTTAAACTCCTCGAAAGAGTGTTTCGGTTTTATTATGATAGAGTTGTGTAATTTTCTGTAAAATAACTACCTGAACTTTAGATCCATCCAGACCTAAACTGAATTAAAACCAGTCGAATTCAATACCAATAAAATTAAAAAATAAAATATAAGTAATATTGTTGCCACTTATAAATAAAATGGATTATACTTATCGACAATTTTGAATGAATGGGATCATAGGGTATAATAACAAGATGTGTTTTATTTATTATCTTTATTGCAATCCTACAAATTAATTTATATAGTACCCTTTTCAAAATTTCATATTTTTCACTTATAGATAATTAAACTGATATCGAATACAACAAAGTCTAGAAAAAGAAAATATATTACAGATAACTCTTAATGATACACAACAACTTATTCATAAATGTAATCTTTTGAATCCTGAACAACTGATTTATCAATCTGAACTATCTCAAAACGGTGCAATAACTGTACGCAAAATTTTAATTTCCAAAAGAACGTACCTCATGCCAATACAATTTCCTGGTCCAATACTAAAGGGCAGGTAAGTATAAGGAAATAGTTTGCTTTTATTCTCGTCAGAAAACCGTTCAGGATCCAGTTTTTCTGGATCTGGATAATAATCAGGGTTCATATGGATACTCTGGACAGGGATCCAAATTATTTGACCTCGATCGATGGTAATACGTTATTCTTTTGAATTTGTAGCCTGAACGGTGTAAGATTTTGTGCAGTAACGACCAAGAAGCACTGCTGGAGGCCATTTTCTTAAAATTTCTAACAAAATATAACTTTACTTAATATTCATTCTTTTACTAAAATAAATCCATGTACCTGAAAGAAAGAACCATATCCAAGTATTTCATGTCTGAAATCAGTTCATCTATACTAATATATGAAATCCTTAAGTGACTGACATACTGATTAATCACGATCCTGCTCAAACCACTCAACGTAAGAAGCTCAATTTTGGCATACAGGTTGATTCTAGGGTGTAGAGGTTCGATAAGAAGGGATTTTTAGAAACTCGAATTCTAAGGGGGTGAAACTATCCCTCAAATATTAAAATATTTTTTATTTAAAAACCGGTGAGTTTTTCGGAAAAACTCTTAAACACGTATATTTTATTTTGCTGTTTTACATATTTTAAGATTTTTTAAAAATGTATACAGGGTGTTTCATAAAATATGACCATTGAGTAATCACGGTTCTGCTTAAACTGCCTGACGTTTAAAGCTGATTTTTGGCAAACGGATTGACTGTGGGGTGTAGAGGTTCGATAAGGAGGGGTTTCTCGAATCTCAAATTCCAAGAGGGTGAAAACTCCCCTCAAATATTATAATATTTGTTATTTAAAAAACGGTTAGTCTTTCGGGAAACGGTTGAACAAGCATAATTTATTTGGTTTTTTTACATATTTTGAAATTTTTTAAAAAATCATACAGGGTGTTCCAAAAAGTTGGGTCATTTCTTAACCACGATTCCTGCTTAAACTGCTTGATGTAAAAAGCTTATTTTTAGCAAACGGATTTTTCGAAAGTCAAATTCCAACGAGATGAAACATATAGCGATATAATAATATCGCTATATTGTTTTTTCTCATGCTGACATAAATGTGAGAAAATGTTATCCAGTTTGTATGTTAATGGAAATTCTTGCTTTGCTTTGAGATGATAAACTCCATTACAAATGATTAATTCGACGCGAACGAAGTCGCTGGTACACGCTAGTAAGTAATATTTCCTTTAGTCTTCGTCCAAACACGGTTGATTTCATGCCTTAACTTGCTCTGTATAATTGGATTAATAGCCAGTTCATATGTAGCAAAACAGAGGGCCGTAGATACCGTATCGAAGCCAGCAATGAAGAAAACTAGAGCTTGCGTTGTTATTTTCGCATTTGTGAATTCCCTGTGAGGGTCTTGACTACCTAGAATAGATCATTATTTAAATAATTAATAAAAATTATTGAAAAAATTATTTTACACTGATCCATATCATAATCTAATAAGATATCTGGCTGCTTTTCTACAGGTTTATTTGCTTTTCTCGGTTCTACAAATAAATTGATTAGATCAGGCTAGTTAACCCTTGTTCGTTCCTCATCTTCATTCCTTCTGAGATTATATTGCAAAAGTAATCAAATATCTCTCTTTCAATAAGTCTTACGCCAAAAAACTGTTGAAAAAAGAGGATATAGTAAAACTACGTTATATCCCATACAGCACATCAAATCACATTTACGATGTGTTTACATTATTAGATGTAGACACAGGGTGACACAATTACCCCGATGTAAATATGCTACATTTACACATTGTAGTTCAACACGTATGCACAAAGGTTAAACGTCCGCCTCACAATGTAGCCACAGTATAGCATTTACGTATACACAAAGTAAGGGATACACAGTGTGTCGTAGGATACACAGTGCTTGTGTATTACGTTTAAACTATGTTTACACATTGCAGTTGTGACTACCGTATGTACTATTGTACTACAATGTGTACATTGCAGTTGTGACTACCGTGCGTGTATACGTATGTATTTTGCTTCGTATATACAGGGTCCGGCAATAGTGCGTCGGGCGTCTGTAGCTCCAAGAATAAAAAACTTAAGAATTTTGTTTAAGTGCAAACCTAAAGTATGTACCAGGATGTATTTCAGGAAAATATTTTAACTTCTATAGGGTGGCTCAAAAAAGTGTGAGTGGACCTGGATGATTTTTTTTAAACGGAACACCATGTATATTATTGCATTTTTGGATTCCTTTCAGATCACTTTACATAACCCTAAGATATGAATAAATATATTTCCATTAGTTTCAGAGATATTAAAAAATAAATCAAAAATATATATTTTTCAGCCGTTCTTAAAAAAAAATTGTTAAAAATACAAGAACTGTTCTGAAATCAAAACTATATTAGATATTTACTTTAGATGGTCTGTACTTACTTTGCTATAAATATAAAAATCGTAAATCATACAGGATGTACTAAATTCTACGCAAAACTTTCTAAAATATAAAATAATTTTTCTTTGTTTTTTTAAATGGAACACTCTGTATATTATTTTTTCAATAGATGAAAAATTAAAAAATGAACTTTTTTTGTATTTAGAGTATTTCAAAAATTTTAACGCTTTCGCAGATATTTGCGGTTTTATATTTCATATGGCATTTTCCACAGTAAATTTTTATCAAAGCCACCTAATGATTTTTTCTCGTATTTTACCATTGAAAGCCATATGAATTAATACTGCGTGTATCTGTGAAACCGTTAAAAAATTTGAAATACTCTAAATACAAAAAATGTTCAGTTTTTAATTCTCCATCTAATAAAAAAATAATACAGGGTGTTCCATTTAAAAAACAAAGAAAAAAATATTTATATTTTAGAAAGCTTGCCGTAGAATATTGAACATCCTGTATGATTTACGATTACCATATTTATAGCCAAGTAAGTACAGACCATCTAAAGTAAATATCTAATATAGTTTTGATTTCAGAACAGTTCTTGTATTTTTAATAATTTTTTTTAAGAAGAGCTGAAAAATATATATTTTTGATTTATTTTTTAATATCTCTGAAACTATCGAAATATATTTATTCATATCTTAGGGTTATGTAAAGTGATCTGAAAGGAATCCAAAAATGCAATAATATACAGGGTGTTCCAATTAAAAAAATCATTCATGTACACTAACACTTTTTTGAGCCACCCTATAGAAGTTAAAATATTTTCCTGAAATACATCCTGATACATACTTTAGGTCTGCACTTAAACAAAATTCTCTAGTTTTTTATTCTCGGAGCTACAGATGCCCGACGTACTATTGCCGGACCCTGTATATCTTGTGCTAGATAAAACTACTTCTTATGAACGAATTAGGAAATAATACAAGTTTTGATGCCTAACTTTTCGTTCTTTTTAAGAAATATTTATTCAATGATACCAATTATATCTTTATAGAACGAAAATTAGGAATGCAAAACTTTGTATTTTCCAAAAGTATCTCGATCGTAAGTTCAAGAGAAGTAGCCTTAAAATTGTTCCATTTTTGTTTTGTAATAAATATACCATTTTTCTTTCATAAAATGGATTAAGTGGTTAAAAAATAAAATTCTTATATTTCTTTATATCATGGAACGCAATAGCGCAAATAACACAATAATAATAATTATTTACACTGCAGAAACCAGAAGTAAGAAAACACTGTAAAAGAACAGAATTTGTATTAAAAATATAAGTACATACCTAGTATAACAACATACTAAAATGGTAAACACTGGTATATCGCCACGATTTGGTGGACCTCGTTTAGTCATTTTTTTCTCCTCTTTTCCCTCCAAGCAATTTGTTTATTAGCATACTCATTCATCGAGCACTCTGTTGGATTTTGTTGTATTTTATTTCCAGATTAACAATCTCACCTTTAAATTTTATATGAAACTGATTATTGAATATTAAACATATCTGTATATCGATCCATCAATACCTTACCGAATATCAGTGTAAGAAGTTCTTTGAAGTGTTTAAATCTTTTTTTCTCTGGTCCATTTAGATTTTCATTATTTCCAAATAAAAAAAAATTATATTGCAGAGCTAACTCAGCTAACCTCTTTATCATTATACGAGAATATTTGGAGTTTTCATTCATTGGAGTCAAAGTTTGGTAAATTGGGTATCGAGTAAGGGAAGAGTAGCTGATATAATATTAATAATACTCTTAGGAAGGTGTAACAAGGTAATTAAAAACAAGTACTTACCTTAAAATCTCTTTTAAACTACACACAAACAGAACATTTATATAGAGCTTCCGAATGATAAAACAATAATGGCTGCTAACACATACCACTCATAGAAAGGAGAAAGGAGAGGGACACATTATGATACACTTGGTCGGTGTATCTACGCTGAGGCTATCCGCGCATGCGCACACCTTCATTTCATGCTAGAATGTAGACACAACAGTACACTATTACAAAGTGTCTATATAGATATTTATATTATGTGTATAAGTCACATTTTTACAAGGTTTTTACTATAGGCACAACTATGATACGAAGTATCACACATACATATGACTTATACTTTGTATGTCTCATATACCGACGTCAGATTTCATCATTTTAATAATTATTTGTTACGTTACAAAAAACTCTTTAGAATCATGAGTGCATACGGTATACAACTAGTAAACACTGTATCACACAATTCTATCAAAATAAACCTGCGTGTATCTCATATGTATATGTTAGAACTAGATGAACACTTAGGTTCACTTTAACATATGTTGTTTCTCATGTGTCTTCCTTGTAGAAACGTAATTTCATTTGAACGTGCTATATGGGATACTGTTAAGCGTAGAAACAATATTTCTGTATGAACTTTACTACTAATTGCAACATTTCTAATAAAGTATAGATTTAAAAGATTTAGTTATTGTTTTATATATTTTTTATATAAAACTTATTTCGTGAGATCAGAGAAATAAATCACCAACAGCTGTCACAGCTAAGAACTTTAGTAATGTGCATTATTAAATCTTAAACTGAAATATTATTTCTACACATACATGTAATTGTAATGTCGTAAGCCGTTTGATAAAATTCGTTTTTTGGATTTTCTAACGAGTCGACGTTAATACCAAAAACAGTGGAACCAATGACGTCTGTTGCGTACCTATAAATAAAAGAATTCTTAAAAAAACTATTTTTATAAAAACTTTAACTAAAAATCTGCAGAATATGCTGCCGAAGTTCCCCGAATACATTCGGACCACCCTGTATATAATTTTGCTATCTTTATTTTTATTTTGTAGTATTTTATAATACAAAACCCAAAGCTACTACTCGTACAAATTACAAACATATAGAATCATCTAATACATTTTAAATTAATTATAAGGATGTTGAATGATTGCACTTGATATTGTAATAACTTTTTTATTTATATTATTTAATGCTTCTATCTTTTCTAATATTCTATCGATAGCAATCTTAATATAATTAAATATAGGTAGATATCTGTCAATTATATTGAAATATTGCACAATTTTGTATCATTCACCAGTCTTGGAAAACAAGTCACTCAAAACGGCTTTGTCTCCTTTAGCCTCCGAGAAAAAAACAATATTAGTAATATCCTTGTATATATATACACAAGGCTAATATCAACTAAAATAGATAAGTTCCTGATAATATCTGTAAATAAAAGCTGTCATATTAATTTCAATGAACTCATAATTAAATCTTGCTTAATTGTAACACTCAATTTGACCAAAACGGACGATTTAAACATTGTTTTAATAGTTTGTTATTGTAGTTTTTTGTGCCGAGTATGATTTGGTTGATAGGAGCGGCTATAGTAGCTGCTTTGACATGGTACCTTTTCGTAAAACCCCTACATTATTGGTCAGACAGAGGTGTGAAACAGACTAAACCATGGATATTCCTTGGAGATTCATGGACGACCTTGTTCAGAAGAATGAGCTTTAGTGAATTTTTAGAATGGATTTACAATATGTATCCCAATGAAAGGTACCACCATAATTTTTCTTTTTTCCTTAATTTACTTGCTGAATCTTCTGTACGTCTGCATTCTTTTCACACGAATGTTCTTGATTTTCTCAAATTAACTCTAAGCTAGTTATCCATAAAGAATGATTTTGGTCATACGCCAAATTGTAATAACTTTTATATTAGTGTAAATAAGAGTGTAAATTAATGTCGACAATTCTACACACAGATGCAAAAAAACGCATCGAAAAAAAAACCTTTCGTTAAATTTAAAGTCTTGTATTTTTTTTATTTTTGGACCTATTTTCATGAATTTGTGCAGGCATGTGTTGACGTGTTGACAGGGGCGGATGGGGAAGTGGAAACCGGCCAGGGAAAAACAGACAACCGTCCCATAGAGGTGGGAATTCTAGTTCCTTCATTGCATATATTAAAAACATATAGGTAAGTTTTATAGCAGATAAAAAAATTAAAAAACTCAAATCAGAGTTTAAAAACTATATCACAAATTAATTGGAGGAAATAATACGAAAAATTTACGAAAAAATGTATTTTTCCTCACTTCAAGCTTTTTGTTTTTGTCTAAAAATTCAGAATATCTACTTCGTTTTATAAGATATTTGTTAATTTTAGGGACATAAAGTGAAACATTCCCATAAAATATTTAAAAAACAAAGTAAAAATCAAAAACAGTATCCACGACAATTTTCTGTGGTAATTACGCCGCGCCGGCTGTGGCAATAGACAAGGCCGAATCCATCGTCGTCGCCTTGTATTATATCGCGAATCTGCCGACTGAATAGATTCCCGTGAACTAGTCTTTTAATAGTTCCTCTATGTCCGGATCCGATAACATACGGCTGGCACTCCCCACGCCTGCCTAGCATCAATCACGCTGGCTGATCCATACGTAAACTAGTCTTTTATTTAGTTCCTCTTGTTCCTTTAGGTCCGGATCCGATAACATACGGCATACGGCTGGCACTCCCCACTCCTGCCTAGCATCGATCGCGCTGGCCCGATCCGTTCGTACGTAAACTAGTCTTTTATTTAGTTTAGTTCCTCTAAGAAGTGTCTAGCCCTAGCAGTCAACTATTACGCTTGACCAATCAGGTTGGTTAGCGTGGTTATTTGAAGGGTGTTAATACATTTGTGTTTGTCAAAAACTCTAACGTGATTGGTCGGGCTTAATAGTTGCCTGCTAGGGCTAGACACAAGTGTTCCTCTAGGTCCGGATCCGATAACGTACGGCTGGCTCTCCCCACTCCTGCCTACCATCGGGCTACGCGCGCTAACCGATCTGTCGCCGTCGCATATTATTCTATATCGGTCACAGTCTCGATCCCGGAACAGATTCTGAGGTACTGGTTCTTTGAGAAACCAGGAACTAGTTCCTTTCATTCCGGGGTCGGAATAGTTCATTGGAACTAGTTCGTTCACGAACTACACACCTCTAATCTCGATAAAAGAAACATATTTTCTCGTTTTTCAAATAAGTCCAAAATAACGGAGTTATTTTACTTTGAAAATTTCCAAAAAAAAATAATTTTTTGCTAAAATTTTGGGAACCACTGTATCTTTTCTGGATTTTCTTTCTTGTAACTTTAATCTACTACCTATGTTGACATATTATCAAGAAATAATTTTTTTTAAACAAAAACTAAAAAAAATTCCAAAAAAATTTTCAAAAAATTCCGAATTTTCAAAAAAAAATTATTTAGAAAAAACCTCATAGGCGTGTTTCTGGGGTTGAACTATACTACCAGTTAAGTTAAAATACTTGCACTTATTTCTGGGACACCCTGTATATGGTTACATAGTAGCGCAGCGCCGCGCCGCACAGTGGGCCAGGGATAGCCTTAGCGATTGAAATGGACCCAGAACTTATTTCGTCGAATTTTTTTCTTTCTTATCGCAGACTGATTAAGTATACCATGAAGCATCAGAAAACAATCAAATGAACTCGCTCCGTTGTCATGGTGCGAGTATCAACAATAATTTTGTTAAGTTTGTTGACGCGTCATTTTGTGTTGTTCAATTTATAGAATTTTGCCTGTTAAAACTGGAGCTGTTTTTCAAAGAAATTGTTTTTTTACCAAAGTAAACATGCAAGAAACCAGGGAAGGGAAGTTTTCATATTAATTTTATGCTGATAAGGTTACTCTGAAACACAACTATCCTAAAGAAATCCTACATTTTAAGTAACACCAAAAAAAATTGCCAAATAAAGGGTTTTTTAATTTTATTAAGCAATATGTTAAAATTTTAGCATCCTTTAGGGCCACTGTTACTACCGTGTATTTAAGAAACATCTTATAATGTTTTCTGCAAAACAAAATCTTGCTCCCAGCTGCTCCATTTTAAAAAAATAATTTTTAAATAATTCAAACCGAGTAACCGAAGTCAAAACGAAAAGCAAAGAATTTAAAAAGAGTTTAGAAATCTTTAGGCATAATTGTAGATGTAGTGAGGAAGCTCAAGAAGCTCGAAATAAGGAGTACAGACGATACAGGGAATATCATTCAAGAAAAATGAGCAGAATCGAGACTAATACAGATGTATTTCATAATTTATTAATTTCTTCTAATCCACTAATTACAAGTTTAAGAAAACTTAAGTTATCCAAAAAGAAAAAGCTTGTTCCCGAAACTCTAAATTTACTAAAATCATTTGATCCAAATCCATCATCTTTCAACGACAATAATGACAGTAGCAGTGATTCTGAATAGCTGGATCTATTTATTAAAAATAAGTTAACTTTGTGGTTGGCCTTTTCGGTTAGCCGTGAAATTTATTGTTTTTTTCTTAAATACCATATGTTTACGTATAAGAACATTGCTCATGTTATTTAATGTTTTGTTCAATTTCAAACAAAATAACCTATTGTATGATCTTTTTAACTTTATGTATGTAATTCATAATTTTTTTCGAAAAATTAATAAGTACCGTGGCCGGCCGTAGCTTTTCGTTTAGGCAATGTTATTGATAAAGATGTACGCCACTGATTTTTCTCTTCATTCTTAATTTTTTTAGACGAGGAAAATTAAAATACAAATTTTTTGCCTCTTTAATTTTTTTAGCACCTTGCCTCATCTTCAAGAAAAAAAACTCTCTGTTACATATTCTCTGATTATATACAAATCCATTTAATTAGTTATCATTGACACTCTGTATACCAAAACAGAAGAGAAATTCTAAAAAATGTTATCCTACATCTTCATTTTAAAATTAAGTGAGGATTCGCGCCTTTCATTTTGTTAATAAAGTTATACCCTGCATAGGGAATTTAGGGAGCACCCTGTATAGCAACAATTATAGTTTATTAAAGTCCGATGTTCGTAAAAATTGTATTTATTCATTTTTTAATACATATTTAGATAAAAGTTGTTGACATACAAAAAGAAATTTAATTAGTCAAACTCCTAGTTACTTCCTGGCCCACTGTGCGCCGCCTCGCGCTTATAACCTTGAAAAATTAAAGCGTGTTATCAAATCGTCTAGTTCACAGTGAAAGCAGACAGGCACCGTCAACCAGCGTTCATCGGCGTTCTCGCTTTTACCGGAACGAAAATTTATTTATTTCTGCTTTTGCATGCGCCGACGGCGCACATGGGGTATTAAGAACTAAAAGTTGGCCAAAATTATGTTTTATGATTTTTTTGCTTTTTTGCTAGTAATATTAATTATTAATTAGAGGAGAGGTTGCTAATATGGAACCCCATTTTGTTTTCCTACCAATATTTTTTCCTCTACTCTGAAACCCTTTCCACCGATCAAATAGGGCCATTCTGTGCAAAACCAAGCAATTGGATGAGGATGCTAGAACAAGAAAGTAATTTGTATATTATAGACGATATTTGAGCGAGGATGGGTGTTAATAGGGTAAAGACTATTTCCTTTAAGAATCTATTTAAATCAATGTTTTTTTTGGCAGTGGCAAATATTGGCAAGATTTTTGTGCATATTCCAATGCTGGAGACTTTAAGCATTGAACGGATACTAATTTCCATGCGGAATATTGCCGAATAGTCTTACACCTTATAAAAATGCCACTGATTTTTTAAATATAAAACATTATAAAAAAATAGAATAGAAGGAAACGTTTCAAAATAAAAATATGGCATAAAACAGAACAGAGCCAACAAACAAAGCTGGCTCTGTATCCATCATGACAGTTATTATGAACAATTTGCAAAAAAAGCACTACAAACAATTCCACTATTTTTATAATCTTAGAAATATTCAGAATACACTCAAGATAATTCATACTTTTAACTGAAATATATTATTTATTTGATAGTCAACTTACGACTTAAAAAAGCTAATAACTAATAAACGTGCTTACATTTAGTATTTATAGATTTGTATTCAGTTAAGATAAAAAATGAAAATAAAAAAATATCATTTTTGGCCAGGTTTATAGACCAAATACATCTATGAGCGGCCCCGGCGAGGTGGGCGCGGCGTTTGAATATGGTTTAGTTAGGTTAGGTTAGTTAATCAAGTAAATTTCCTCTTAATTATCTACTTCCAAACCCTTCTCGCATCTCCGAAATAGTCATATACAATACACGTGATGCATATACGCAAAGTTACGCATCTGTGTATTGTTATATGGCTTTTTAGGAGATGCGAGATGCGAGCTATATTTGAAGATGCGAGTGATCAAGAATAGGTGCCCAGAGACGGCGCTGGCTGCCGGAAAGCAGAAACCTGCCTCCACTATGTTCGTACCCTTAGGGAAGTAGCTAATTAAGGAAGTAGCTAATTAAGAGGAAATTTACCTGATTAACTAACCTAACCTAACCTAACCATATTGAAACGCCGCGCCCGCCGCACATAGGGGTATTTGGTCTATAAACCTGGCCAAAAGTGATATTTTTTTTATTTTCATTTTTTATCTTAACTGAATACAAATCTATAAATACTAAATGTAAGCACGTTTATTAGCTTTTTTAAATCGTAAGTTCACTATCAAATAAATAATATATTTCAGTTAAAAGTATGAATTATCTTGAGTG